GGCCACCCACCCCGCATAATGCGACTGACTAGTGCTGGAGGTGGGGGAGAGAGTCAGGTAGACGGCGATCCAGCGCAATTTCCGCGCTTGAAGCTATCGTGGTGCGCTAAAAGCCGCGGCTTGGAGGGTTGCCAACTGATGGGATAACTCGTACCGCGCTGTCAGTTCAGGGTTTTGTCTGTGTGGAGTGCCTGACCAGCGCACTGAAATTCAGGCTGCACTGGCTACTCCTTAATGTGGCCTTTACCTGTACTATCACTCAGCTGCGATCTGATGGGTGTGATGGTCCACGCCACGTGAACCTGCGTCCTCCCTCATATCCGGTTTCCTTGGCTCTGTCTTGGCGCCGGATACCGTTTGGGACATTGAAGAGAGTGAGGTAGATACATCGAAGGTGTACTCTCATTATAATCCGGCGCAAAACACCGTACCTGCATCAGTCCGCTATAGAACATACGCTGGATCTGATCGAATTCGACGGTCGAATTGTCGACCTACTTCATCGGCAACATTACGGTCTTTTAAAATATCGTAATTATAAACCTTCTTTAAACCCGAAGGATACCCTTTCTTCAAGTATAAACTTTGAAGAAGAAGAAGAATAATAATAAGAATAAGAAGTAAATTCTGTCAAATACGCCTGAATTTATGTTGTTATCGAAAATAAATGAGAAAAATACTTCAAAAGTGGGCTTTTTTAAAGAATAGACTTGCTGACAGACGCTGCCCAGTGGTGAGGTACGGACGAATTTTAGCTCGGTTAATTGTTTTTCAACCATCTGTGCGTATCTGTTTTTATGGTTCGGGCTTATGAATGAAGGCAGAATCCGTCCGAAACAGTTGTATATCAATATGCTCACGTGACTCTCGGCAGTCCATTTGCTGCCCGTGTTTGGCCGATTTGAAATTCACATGTGTTTACCTGTTCTTGAACTCTGCCACCTATCGGGTGCTTGTTTTCTCACGAAACAACTATTCATTCCTGCAAAAATTCAACCATTAGTCATACTTCATTTCTGGTAAAGTACATCTGTTGGGATTTCGTTACTGCAGAAAGGGAATAGTTTGCTAACTAGGAGGTCAATTTTCTCCCTCCCGCATCAATTTTGAAGTCCATTTCACGTGTTAACTTCTCTCCAAGTCTTCCAAATTGCATATTTTGCAGTCTCCCTACGAATAATTCAACACCCCTCCCACTTAATGTCACCTAATAAACTTCCGACTGTCTCGAGAATCATCCTAATGGCAAATATACCTCAGACCGTGG